TGATGCTTGCTATTCGAATGTTTTAAACAAACGAATGAATTTAATCTTTTAATATGTTTAAGCAATTGAGATTAAATGTGTAGGATGAATTGGATACGGAGAATGCTTATTTAACGGTATAATAAAAATCATCATGTATAAGATTCAGTTTGTGTAGGACATATGATATAGGAAGTTTAAAGAAATAATAAGTCATTCCTATTATGTGATAACTTGATATCATATTTATCATAGTTATTTATGGAATGTTTGATGTATTTCTTTAATTATTACATCAATTGTTGGATTGTGTGGTTTAATGCACCGGTATGGGACGGTGGCATTCTAGGAACGGATTAACTTATCAGTTAAGTCCTACCTATTTTATATAAGGGAATGAATTAACTAAAATGTTAAGTCCTACTTATATTCAAGTCAGGTCAGCTGAACAAGTTGAATGACTTATAGAGGATTAATTTATTATATCAGGGAATGGATTAACTTAAATGTTAAGTCCTACTTATATTCAAGTCAGGTCAGCTGAACAAGTTGAATGACTTATAGAGGATTAATTTATTATATAAGGGAATGGATTAACTAAAATGTTAAGTCCTACTTATATTCAAGTCAGGTCAGCTGAACAAGTTGAATGACTTATGGAGGATTAATTTATACTGGATATGATGGTTACTAGATTTTATATATATAAGTATGGTGCCATGATATGAGTTTGAGTCTCAGGATCAGTGGTTAGGGTTCGTATATCGCCAAGGATGTGTAGCTAGATATAGTGTAGTTGTGTACCCTGGTAGGTTTAGGTACTCATGCCCACTATATGTACGTTTTGCATGTTGCCTACTATTCAGGTTGAGACAACCCTATAGTCCAGTGAGGTTCCTTTAGTGTGTGTATATATATATATATACGGACTACTTGTTACTGTTGGATTGACTAGAATGTATACGTGTATCGAATCTCTGCTTGGACTGTGGTAGAGTAGAACTTGTTTGTGGGCCTGACCCACCATTATTTTTCAGGTGTTCGTCAGGAGTAGAGGTTGTTCATGCTGAGCGGGGATCAGTCTACTTCATTCTTTCGATGCTACATAGAAGTTCCTTTATGATTCAGTTTCCTGATTTAGACAGTTATTGTTGCCATTTGTTTAGTTTGGATTTTCTAGGGGTCCACACAATATGGATTACCGAGTTGTATTTTGGAGGATCAGTTGTATCAGAAGAGTTTATTAATTAATGGAAATATATTATGAGGTTTATTATTAGATTATCATTTTAGTTTCTTGTCAGCATTTTATTTATTCTTCTTTATTCTTTTGTACTCTGTATTCGTTTATTATCAATTTGTTTTGATATCCTCGGGTATTTGGGCGTGGGCCTGGCCAACCCACATTCGGGAATCCGGGGGTATCACAGGAACCATTACAAAGTATGAAAGCTATTTTAGAGGGGTAATTATGACTTTATGAATGTTTTGGGACAAGTTTTGCTTGGTCTAAATGACCAATTTATGATTTAGAGGAGAGAACAATAAAAAATGGGTAGTACGACATTTTCTGGGCTCAGTCCTATCAATTGGGTTTTAATCCGATCGATCGGATCTTCCCATACTTAGTTTTTTTCTTGAAAACCCTCAAAAACTTACTCTCGGTCCGATTTTCCTAGACTTTGAATTTTTTTTTGAGTTTTTAAAATCGCCTGGATTGGCCAGATTTCAAACAATCATAACTTATTCATTTTAAATCCAAATGAGGTCATTCTTAAGCCCAAGTTGATGCATGTTTCGTTAGCTTTCCAATGGTACTAATATTATTTTCAGATTCCAATCCTAATGAGAGATATTTACATTTCAGTGAGACAGTGTCAAAAAATTTTTGAACCGGGAATGGGCAATTATGGGAAATTAGGTCTATAGCCCCTTAAACCCATTGGGATGTTCTCAAATGATCAAGTTAGATTGAATGGACCCCATTGGATTTGGTTAATATCAAATTTTCTCTTCCTTTGTGTAAAATAACTATTTTACCCCTTATGAGCCAAGGGTTCCGGCATGGGCCCAAAGTTGGAGTTACCATTATTTAATGATCCAATGTGGTTATGAATGACTAGTATGACTTCTAACTCTTAGTAATGTGCATAATAACCATTTTGCCCTTAGTTAACCTCGGGTTCGGGTAAGGACCCAAATAGTGATTCAGACCCTCCGAATTCGGGTCGTTACAATAAATTTTACCCCAATTGGACTAGTTCAAATATATAAGTTGGACTGGTCCATCTTTTCCAACAAGTGTTAAGAATCATATGTAAAAGGTGCTCCAGCTCAATTGTAAGGTGTGAATATTTTCTTGTATGTAGAGATGAAATTTCCCTTCATGTTGTGGGACCACTCAGCTTACCTTAAAAATGGTTAGTTGTAAATAACCCCACGAGGCTATGGAGCAAAGGATTATCCCGAGCCTACACCTACACCGAGGTACTGACGATGATTCTAAAATATGGCAAAACATAATGTGATACGATTACTAAATAAATAATGTAATTCATATTGATTAGAAAAAGGGTAAGACTTTGATTATAGGTTGCATTCAAAATAGCTTTCCCTCAAAAGTGTTCTACTTGAGCAATATTTAAGATATGACGATGCTTTTGTCCAGGCATTCCATTTTGTTGTGAGTGTCGGGACAATTAGTTTTTTTTTTTTTTTTTTTTTTTCCTTAGAGAACGTCTATCGGCTCCACAACCTACGTACTATTTAAGTTAGGAGTGTGGTTCGAAAGTGAAATCTCAAAAACTTACCTTCCGGATATCTGCCAACGCTGCTATGCCCCTGATGGTATGGGGACAATTAGTTTGATGCATTATCCCTTTTTCATATTGAGATGTGGGCATGCAAAATTTCAACCCATTGTCTGCAGGAATGGTCTTTCACTTGGAAAACATATTGATTTCCAATATTTTGAGATTATAAGTAGTAGTTATACTCAAGGTTGTTAAAATCGGGATTCTACGTAGAATCGTTTTGGGCTTCGTAGAATCGGAATCGTAAAATCGGATCGTGAATCGTAAGATTCTACCAAATTGTAAAAAAAAAAATTGAAACTAACTTCCTAGACAATAAGATATGTAAAATATAACCAAAATAAGGCCAAAACACACCATATTACATATCCATGACTTCAAATCTCAAATCCTAACAATATTCTAAAGTCCGAATATAAATAAAAGTAAAAGAAAATATTTCAAAGTCTGAATATAAATAAAAGAAGATGTAACACAAAATTGATCACATCATTCATTGTTTGTCCTAGAGTTAAGGTTCTATTTGATATTCATTTCCCTCCAAATATGATACACATCACTAGCTGAGGTTAGCTTCCAAATCATTACCCTGCTTCTCTTTAATTTTTGTTTCCAATTTAAAGATGCCCAAATTAAAAAATCTTTCCAAAGAGTTAGGGCATATGTAGAATCCGCATTTGTGGTGGAGTCCACTTCGTATGATTTTGGAATATTCACACTGATGAAACAAATGTCTATATTACAAATCAAATTCATTTTGTCACATACTTTTAAGTATTGCAATGTTACACTGTTCCTTCTTACTCACTTTTTTTTTCTTCTTATTTTTCCCTTTCTATTAATTTTTTCAGTTTCATAAATAGTGATTTGCGCACTCATCCTCTGCACTCATCCTCCGCAGTATTAATTTTTTTAGTTTCAGAAAATCACTATTTCAGTTTCATAAATAGTGATTTTCTGCTTATTTTCCCTTTCTATTAATTTTTTTAGTTTCATAAATAGTGCTAAAAAATAGTGATAAAAATTTAAATGGCCAGGTAAAATTAAAACAAAAACTAAAGAAATTGGAAAAGATAGTCAGAAGACTCAGAACTTAAAATTAAAACTAAAATTAGACCATTAATGCAAAAGATTATCAAAACATGATGAATAATTTCTAAGAACAAGTAGATAAAAGGTTAGAATAATCAAGGAATAATCAAGATTAGAACAATCTTAGAATAATTAAGCTACGAAGGGTCATATAGATTAGAAAAAACTCTAGAAATTTCTTGATCAAGGAAGAACATACCTAGCCGAACCTGCAAGCTGCTGTATGGATTCGATGATTCCGATCTGCTCGTTATAAGCCTTTGCACTGCCGCCTCCTTTCAGTCCTCACTCCTCTCCTCTCTGAGATAGGGTCCCCGTTTCTAATATTATAATAGAGTAGGTTTTGTATTTTATGATTTATAGAATAAATAATTAAATATATAATTTAGGAAAATTCTATACAAAATTTGGGCCAGGCTTTGGCCCAAACAACTAAAAGAATAAAGGCCCAAAGACCAAATAGTATAAAAGCCCGCCCAAACACACATTTTGGTAGAATCGGTAGAATCATGTAGAATCGTACGATTCTACGATTCTACCAACGATTCTACCGATTCTACCAATTGGGCGATTCTGATCCGATTTGAGTCGATTTTAAGAGCTGAGTCGCAGAATCGTGCGATTCTACGACTCAGAATCGCGATTTTGATAACCATGGTTATACTTCATCAAATCCTTTAAGTTAGCTGTGGTGTATGTCACCTTAAATTAAAATTTTAAATGCTAGACATGATATAATTTTAAGATTTTTTGAAAAACGTAACATATCAATTTTTTAATCATTCAACTTATGATAATTTGAAGAAAATCAATTTAGAATATTTGACGAATTTTGTACTCCTTCTCAATGCTGACTTGTCATTGGCTCATCGCGAATGTGGCTGTTTCCTAAAATTTTGCTAATAAATTGTAACCCCAAACATAACACCCAAAATCAAACTTCAAAAAAGTTGTTAATCCAAACGTGGGTGGTTCATATCCCGCTATAATCTCACCCATCACACCACATTCAAATCAAAAACCACTAACACGATTCATTCAAAACACCAATCGATATACAGCAACCCATTGATGAAAAAAAAAAAAAAAAAAAAAAAAAAAAACAGAGACCCCACCATGGAAACATCACAAACTCTAGCAAAAGAAAGCCAAGACAACCTGCACCAACAATTCAAGAACCTTGAACAACAATGGGACACCATCAAGCAAACAAAGCCACACCCACACCAGCCTACGCTTCATCGATGCTCGATGGATTCGAAAACCATTGTCAAGACTCTCCAACTGATCAACAACTCTCCAAAAAGTCTCATGTCTTCTCTACAACACGAGAGAAGGTCTCCTTCAGTGGAAGAGATACTTAGAGAGAGAAGAATGGCCACTGAGAGTAGCAAGTTGAAGGGAAGGAGGCTTTTTGAGATGGGTTTTGAAGGTAGAGAAGAGATGGGGAGTGATTGTTTTGGTTTGGTTCAAGAAGGTGAAGTGAGGTCAGTGTGTTCTTATGGTAATTCTCAAGATGTTGAGAGTGATGGTTTGGGAAGCTTCAAGGAAGAGGTGGCTTCTGGTTGTTGCTATTGTTGTTCCTACTCTGGATCTTCTGTGTCTGGTGGAAAGGTGGAGAGAGAAAAAGTGGCGGATGAGAGAGAGAAGGTGGAGCATGATGTGGAAGAAAAGGAGAGATATGGTGGTGGGGGTAGTGGTGGTGGAAAGTGGATTCTTCTCATGGCTTGGTTTAGTATTGCTTTAATGGTGTTTACATTAGGAATTATCTCAATGAAGTGCAATGAAGAATATGGGAATGAAGATGAGGTAATTGTAGTCCCAACATGAACTCTCTCAGTTGATCTTGTTCTATAGTGTTTTTTTTTTTTTTTTTGCTGGTTTATTGAATTTCTATTTAATTTTTTTTCAGTATATGGAAGATGTGATTGATTATAATTTCAAAACAAAGAGATAATGACCCCATTTAGTATTATTTTTGACTTGATGATTGGTTTAGAAATAATGGAGAATCTGAAGCATTTGACAAAGATTTTCCTGAATTTGAAATTCCTATAATTAAGTCCGGTTACTTGTTTTATTTTGACTGAATATGAATATTGAAAATTTCAAACCATCAAGATATCTGGTTAAAAGCAAATTTATTAGGAGTAGGCATTAGAGTACTGCTACATTTGACAATTGAATTTTTTTGCTATTCTAATCACCAACGTTCAGAACGCGTCTTAATAAGTGATGGATAAGGACAAGTCTCTCTCATTTCAAAGTGTTCAAATCAACAACGAATTCATTAGTTGGTAATAATACCGATTCCAGTCTTTTCATTTTCCTAGGCATTATTAAAAGGATTACAGAAATCAATCCAGAGAAATCACACCATCAACAAATTATAGCACAATAGCTCCAAAACATGTGGCTTTATGTACTCCGAGTGCTATACTAATTTAAAAGGGATTGTGAGCTTTTATTAGTTCAACATGTGTTCAAAGGTTTGAGTACACTTCTCTGGATGTATATGCATCTCCTAATAGCCCCAATAACAACAATATACTCATCTATTAAAGAGCTTTGCACTTGCCTTTGGACATTGCATCATTGTTGTGTACACATATAGTAGGTAGCTTTGTTGGAAATTTTGTACTAAAACCAACAAATTTGATATGTCAGATAATGTAAGCTTTCTGGTGTTACTTCTGAATCTACTTTTGAAAACACAAATGCAATCTATTTGCTGTTGCCTTTTGCTTCAGAAGTGAAAAGCTATTCAACCAAAACATGACTTTAAGCTTATGACAGGAATTGAATATTTTACATTATTAGACAGTTATAATGATAGAATTAAGTTTACAAAATTTGAGCACAAAATTTGCCAAAGTACGTACGTACATTGTTCCACATTTTATTATTCTGCAAAATTTTCGGAATTTTGATGGATGACACAAGGCTTTCTTATTCTTCTTCATCTTCTCAACAAACATGGATGACTCACCAAAACTATCTTTTAGTCCTTGGGGCATATTGAAATGTGACAGTATAGGGGGATAATACAGATTATATGCATTTATTTGTATTTTTTTTTTATGTTTTCAATCATGATTAATTCATCCCCATAAAGCAAAATACTGTTTCTCAGAATCAATTCAATATTTCCATCCAAAGCAGCAGGCATTCCTTTATCGGGAAAAAAGATTTGTTTATTGAATAATTTGAAAAATCATTCTGGTAACACTTGTAATTAATTGTTCAATCCTGAAAAAGCTTCAGGTCTTCTTTATGAGGGAAGCAATGGCCATTACCTAATACAACCAGATAGTAGAGGCACAAAAGGGACATAGAAGGACAAGCTAAAATTAAAGTACGAAACATGGTTCGAGGAGAGAGATAACGAACCGGAGAATGACACCAGAGTACAACAATGGAAAGAAGATAGAATGTTGTTATTCTACTTCGTTTTTGGAGAGGGGCCATCTTTCTTAGGCTCGTCCACAGGTGCTGCTTTTTCCGGTGGATTGAGTTCATCCCAAGCTTTGATCCAGGTAACCATAGCATCCCCAAGCTTCTGAAAGTAAGGATCAACCGAGCCAAGCTTGTCCTTGACATGCTTGGAGAGCTCAATGTAGCATTTCTGCACTGTTGTGCATTCTTTTGGGAGCGAAAGCCCTTGGAAGAAAGGGATGATCTCTTCTTGCCAGTAAATGCCCTTGTATTCCTTCTTCAAATTAACGAAGGGGTTGCTAGCCTTGCTGTGCCAAATGTATGGCAGCCCAGTCTTCACTCCAAGACTCAAATGGTCACAGATCACCTGAAATTGAATACAATTCAACATTGTTTGGAATCGATTGTATGCTGACATGTGGAACATATATGACAGATTCTATACTAGATCTCAAGCTCAAAGAGGTTTTTTCTTGCATACGACTTGGCCAAAATTCACATTGTCATGAAAATTTTTAGGTTTTTTTCTTCACGTCATATCCACCATATTGCAGATGAAATCAATAAATGGAGAATCAAATTTTGTATTTGCATCCTAATGCGTGTAATTCTTTAAATCAGGATGTATATACCAAATCTAGTAAGACCACTGAACCAGATAACCATCTTAGCCTCTAAACATTAATGTCAATAAAACAGCTAAAACCGAAGGCTATAGCCCAGTGGTACATACTCGACCTCCCAAAGTGGAGGCTGAGGGTTCAAGTTCCCGTAGGGTCAAATGGACGTGTGAAACTCTACAAAACAGCTAAAAAGAAGCCCTGATCAATGTACCCTGCTACTCTTCGTAGGCAGTACTACTTTTGAGTGTTTGCAATCACCAATGTTTAGAGAACGTACTCATATATTACCGAAATTAGAAGTATCACAAAGAAGACAATGATGAGCAAATAGAAGGAAAATTGATACAGATAATAGTGGATACATGATTGAAATAGGCTAATGAAGCTACCTTGGCACACCAGCCAGCCCACATATCGTCGTATCTGCCAACAGGCTGTCCATCACCCATGAGCCCGAAATACATGGCAGGACCTATCATTTCCCTGTCGAATGCTAGGTTCATCCCACACATTGGGAAGAGGGTGCCTTTTGGGATTGTCATTACAGCGTCCACGTACCTGTTTGAGCTAATATTAATGCACATGAAGCCAACATTAAGCTAACCAAACCCTCTGGTTTGATATCAATATTCTAGAGATCGATTATTAAGTTTATTCATGAAGATTTCAGTATCACTTAAGAATCAAGCAATGAATTTTCAGATGCTGTCCAATAATTAAGCAGAATATAAATGAAGAGGAAAATTCCTTTTCAAGGCATATGAGTGATAAGAACATTCAAAGGAAAATTTTCACTAATACATATGATAACATAAAATGCACAAATTCGATAAAAAAAATAAGAAAAAAATTCAGTTTCTATAACATTGAATAATTGACAACGGAACCCTCCTCCATGAGACAGATTGTTGAACAAAAATTTACTCAATGACTAGTCTAAACCATTAGATCAAGGAACATTTCCCCATAGATCACTAGCAGTTCTTTTTTTACCAAATATCTATGTCTTGTGTTAAACATATTTTGACTGTTATCTAGATCATTCAAGGTATCAGTTGCAACAAGATCATATATATGCAGTATGAGAATGCATAAATCAAGATTCAAGACTACTGTTTGGATTCAAAATATAAAACATCCAAACATTAAAAACCAAATAAATAAATACGCGCGCACGCGCACACATCATGATAACTTGTTAAAACAAAAACCAGCAACTGTCCATATTATTGATTGATCTGTGGTCCTAGTGATTTTTTTTTTTAAAAAAAAATCAAAATACATGTTAAATACATGTTCATGACTATGCTTATGCTGCAAAATTGGAGTTAAATTTCTTAATGAATCAAAAACAAGAAAGTTCGATAAAGAGCAATCTCAAGCTGATAAATAATGGAGTAAAGATACACAACATGTATGTATTATGTATATACCTAGTGTTGCGTTCGCGAGGCTTGACAAGCTGAGTTGGGGCGTCGTAGTCCGGGATGTTGAGCCAGAGGCCATGAGAGATGGCAGTGGACACTCCTTCCCTCATGCTGAATGGATAGCCGCGAACAAAGTCAACACCTTCCCTGAAGGGATCATACAGTGTGTTGAAGAAGAAGGGTGTTGAAGGTGTTAGCAGGTTCTGTATATGCTGTGCCAATGCATTTATCTCTTTCCCACTTGGATCTTTGGCCACCTTTATTTTATTTAATTATTTATTTATTTTTCATTTTTAAGTTTACCAACAAGATACAAAGCAGAGAAAAAAAATGAGTTAAGATCAATCACAAACCTTGTTCAATTATCAATATGCAATTTTTTTTTTTCAATGCATAAATGGTATTAGTACGTAGTAGAAATTGTTGATTGGACTTTTGTCTAGGTCAAAATACAATTTTTTGAAAAGAATAATCAATTTTATAGAGTTCGACGCTGAAACAAATTCAACCAATTTTATGTGAGTATAGGCAACCAACATCATATGTTAGGTAATAAACGACATTATCATGAAATCAGCCCCTACGAAGACTTTGGGATGCTCAATCATTTTCCTAATAAAAATATTTTTAAAAAATAATAATAAAATTATGAGAGAATGAAATTATCTATCAAATATATTTTGAACGGACTAACATTTCAATAAGATTTTAGAATTTGTAATTGAATGAGCCCTGAACTAAAATTAAAACCTGAGCCAGCTATCTCTTAATAAGGGATTAAAATGAGTCTAATGAGAGCCTCCTATTCTATCTACCATGTGAACATATCTTTGAAAATAATAATAATAATTAAATCTGTAAAAATATTTCAAGAAAAACTCTATTACTTGACTGTCGGTGTGTCCTTCTAGGGCCCCTGTGGGTCCAACGGACAGTTCAATGAATACCAACTCGTGCCCAACTGAAGTCCACCTGGCACTATGAAACATGTCAATGGAAATGGGTCCATAAATCTTGAAAGTGAACAAACCAACCCAGGATTCCATATTCATATAGTCACTGTTTATGAATCGAGTCCTTGTCACATATGCATAAGCCCATAAAGGTAATTAAAAGATAATAATAATAATTCTTGGGCTATGTTTGCAAATAAATTTGTCAAACTACGGAGTATTAATTTGACAAATAATTCTCTATATTCATGTAAAATTACAACTATTTTTATTTTGCGTTTGGAATAAGCGAATTAACGCCATTAAATTTTAATTAAAGAAATTTTAACTCAATTTCAAACAATTTATGTGTTTCAAAATTATTTATGATCTCAAATTTTTTATTTTCACTTTGTAAAGGCAGTAACAAAATTAAATCTGTTGCTAATTAGACCTATTTATCTAGGTAAGCAAATTTTTTTTTGGTGTCCTCAATGCACACTACATAAGCTGCTCAATTATCCCGCTATATACACTGATTTAAAAAATCAGTTTAAGAATCATTTTTCGTATTTAATCATGTATAAAACTATTATTATTATTATTATTATTTGTGGGTGTATAAAATTAGTATACTTTATTTTTATTTTGCCTATATATTGTACAATAATTTATATATAAAAAAACAGACATATATATATATATATATATATATATGTATATATATACTTACAAAGCAGTCGTCGTCAATGGTGAAGATATATTTCTTCTTAGAGACCAAGAAGCCGAAGCAGCGACAAGCGGAGTCCTTAAAGGAGATGCAGTTGGCCTTTTGTCCGAGGATCCGATTGATATCATTGCGGTTGTAGAGCTCGTAGTCGTACCCGTCAGGCACTCGGATCTTCTTAGTCGGATCTCCGTCCTGGACTATGATCAAGTGGTACGGCTGCAAGAAAGGCCTCCACATCTCCAGAAAATCAAGGTTCCTGATCGTCGGTATCACAATGTCCAGCTCGTCTTTCAACGGCGGTGATACAGGCGTCAATGGGTGGGCCATGGTGGTTGCTGATATATATATATATATATATATATATATATGTAAAGAGAGAGAGAGAGAGGGTGTGTATGTGTTTTGTGCAGGATATAAGAGGTAGGAGTAAATAGGAAGTGGGGGTTATGTTTGGGATTTATAGAGGGGGAAGGAGGTGTAAGTTTCGTGTTTGGTGTAACGAGGAAGGAGTGAATGTGGAGAGAGAAATAGAGGGGAGAATTGCATTTAAAGTGTAGAGAGAGAAAGTTGACAGATTATATATATTCATTTACTCACATGCTTGCCGTGTTTCAGTCTTTCAGGTTAGCACTTGTAAAGCTAATAAGAGTTTAGTCTAAACTTCTAAACTTTCATTTTGACCCGACATATGAGACCTTTCAGATTTATATAATTACGACAAGGGCTGCAACTTGGGCTGGTTAGCCCAACCCAATCCAACCCAACCCCAACCCCAACCCAGAGATTTTGTAAAATTGGACATACAATTCACAAATCGGATTCATGTACGGGTTGGGTTTTGTCAAAACTCAGACATATTCGGGTTGGGCTCAACCCGAACCCAACCCAAAACCCGAAAAAAAAAAATAATAAAAATAAAAAATTTTCCTCCTTTCTCTTTCCTCTCTGTCGGCGATGGAAACTGATCTTTCTCTCTCTACCGGCGATGGAAACTGAAAGAAATGGGTTTTGATTTGTTGAACAATCTGAAATGATATGCCGATATGGGTTTTGATATAGGTAAATAGGTTTTGAACTTTTGATTCTTGCAAACAGATAGATAAACTGAAATATATGGGTTTTGAACTTCTGATTCTAGTTGATTTTGTAGTTTGCAATTGCACAGAGATAGAGAGAGGGAGCAATTTCAGAGTTGAGAACGAGACGATGAATAAATCATTGTTGAAATATTTGTTGAAGATGAATAATCAGATCTAATCTTTGTAATTTACGACATTGTTGGCTAACAGAAGTAGAGCCCAATTGGAGTTGCTGTTAGAATTAAAAAAAAAAAAAAAAAATTATGAATAGGTATAAAAAAAATAACTGTCAATAAAAAACATATTAAGTGTTTGATAATACATTATAATAAGTACTTTTTACAATTAAATTATTTTTAATTTATTTTGTAACAACATTTTTTTTAAAAATTTCTATTGCTAATTTTACAATAATATCATTTACTAAGATGTTACCATATTTGACAATAGAAATTTTATTAAGGAATGAATGTAATTGTCAATAAAAAGGACATAATTGACTAATGAAAAAGAGTTACCTAAAATTAAGGGTGCCAAAATGGGTCAGGAACCATCAACCCGCCCATATCCATTCGTTTTTTAATGGTTATGAGTGAACTATATTTAATTTGAGGGTCAAGATGGGTTGAGTAATTTTTAACCATTTAATTTAAGGGTCAAGATATGTTGAATATGGTTAGTTAATATTTCATCCATCACATAATAAACACACAACACATATCTATTTTATATTGTACTCAACTCATTTCTCTCTCTAAAATTCTCTCACTCACAATCGTATCTCTCTCTTTAAATTTGTCTCTCATCAATCCCCTCTCCCTAGAAATTTCTTCTAAAAAAATAAATAATTAAAAAATAATTTTAAAAATTAAAAAATAATTATAAATAATTAAAAAATTAAAAATAAAATTAAAAATAAAAAATTGTAAAATCTTTTGAAAAAAATAATTTAAAAATAAATAAATAAATTTTAAAAATAAAAAATAATAATTATTTTTATTGATGGTTTGTATTCATAACTCCTATCTCTCCATTACTAAATTTTCATTAATTTGTGTGTATGTAAACATTTGGTAACTAATCCTACATTTTTAGTTGATGGTTTGTATTCATAACTCCTATCTCTCCATTACTAAATTTTTATTATTTTTCTGAAAGTATAAAAAAATTAAAAAATAAAAAATAATTAATGGATCAACGAGTCATAACGAGTTGACTCTACCCATTTCAACCCGTTCTGAACGGGTTAAATATGGGTCTTGACCCATGTTGACCCGCCCATTTTCAACAAAACTCAAATCCGATTCAACCCGCCCATTTGCCACCCTTACCTAAAATATTCAATCTTTACTCAGAATGCAGTTTTAAAAGCTCTAAATTCTAGCTTCATTTAAACGCTCTATTAAGCTAAATTTGCTAACTATTAGAAGCGCTTTTAAGGTTATCAAACACACGCAATAATCCCAAATGGGCTCGTACTGCATTTATCATTTTACCTTTGATTAATAATTTAGATTTTTTATTTTTTATTTTATTAAGAACACTATAATTGGATCTTGGAGGTTCGGTCATCGATTTCATCTTCATCACCAAAAACTCCAACATCCAACCTCATCCACTCATCTAATGTTAGAGAAAGGCTAATTATCCGATAAACAAATCTCTCAAATTTCCCGAATCTTATTCTCAATCACAATCGTCCCGCTCTTCAAATATTTTGATCTGTTAGTTTCTACCAAAATATTTGGTGCTTCAAAAGACTATATTTTCGGATTCTCTCTTATGAGTGTGTGTGTAGATATGTTGTATGCATACAATTAGTATTCGGATAGTTTCTAAGTTTGAAAAACTCCAAAAGACACTTTATTTAGACCCCATTCTTGCAACAAAGCTTTAGTTTCCAATTTTTCAAGGATTTTGGCATTCTTTTTACCTGCTCTGATGATATGTACTTTTTCAGTAGCTTGAATAATAAATGGTAAGTAAAAAAAAATTCATAACAATCTCCCAATTCGACAGTTGGAGTAGCATCCAAAATCCACCTACTCTTCCTTCATATCAAAATCAAAAGGGTAATTTACACAAACCTCTCCTATGGTTTGCCATAATTATACGGACCTCCCCTCTGGTTTGGGGATTTACACGAACCTCTCCTAAAAATGAAACTATTATACTCAACAACGGATTCTGCTGATGTCATTCACTTAGTTAAGTTAAATACCGATTATACCCTTATCTCTACCAATGATTGTTTCTCTTTCTTCTTCGTTTCTCTCTCATCTCTCTATCTCTTACTAATTCAGGCTATGTGTTGGGTTGATGATGGGATTTGGATAACTCCTTGTCATTTGGGAGATGATGTTTACTATCAATGCCTGATGATATGAAGGTGGAAGATTGGAATTGAGGTGGCTATGTCTTGAATTGGTAGGGTTTGGATAAAGAATAAGGCAACTAGAATATTGGGGTTTGAGAGAGGAGAGAGAATCACAGCCTCGTTGTTGTTCTCCATGGTCATTGCCTTGTTTATTGCCATCGTCGATGTCTCTGTTCATCGTTGGAGTAGTCACTACGGTAGCCGAACACTTTGCTCGTCGCCCTCCTCCTTTCTCTCTCCACCCCTCTCTCTATACTATATATACACAACAATCCACCCACCACCGCCATCTATTCACACACTCTCTTTCTACCGACCACCACCACCACCATTACCATCACCAATACCCACCACCATCAACAAGCCCAACAAAGTTTGCAAAAGCTAACCTAAAAACTACAAGTATACTCCATTAAGGGCCTCTCTCCTCTCAGTATAGCAGTGGTTTACAAGAATTTATTGCCGGAGAATATATGTATATATGTTCTTGTTCTGGGTTCATAATGAATTTTGCGGATTCCTTGAATATTTAGTATATGCTCAATTTGAATTGTACAAAAGTATTTGGGGTTCACGGTTGGAGTAATGATACCCAGTGAATATATGTCTACATATTCTTATTCTAGGTTTAGATTTAATTTTGTGGATCTATTGAATATTTTGGTGTATGTCCAAATTGATAGTGGTGGTTCGCCAGTGGGTGGTGGTGGAGGTGTGGTAGCGACGGTTTTGAAGATAGAGAGTTTGAGAGGGGAGAGATTGAGCCACATATGCATTTCCCTATATATAATAATAATAATAATAATAATAATAATAATAATAATAATAATATGTTCAATTATTTACTATAATAACTTGATGGCATTTTAGTAAATTAAACAGGTCCGTTAGTCTGTTTGACGGTCCGTCACTATGAGGGGAGGTTCATATAGGTTAGTTTCATTTTTAGGCGAGATCCGTGTAAATTCCCAAACCAGGGGGGAGGTCCCTGTAATTATGGCAAACTATAGTGGAGGTCTATGTAAATTATCCAAATGAAAATGAAGTTTATAGAAGCTAAAAAATCCTCTTTAAACTGCCTCAAAAGACACTTTCTAGGAGACTCGGCTCCCTATAATTATGGCAAACCATAGGGGAGGTCTGTGTAAATTATCCAAATCAAAATAAAATTTATATAAGCTAAAATATCCTTTTCAAACTACCTCAAAAGATGTTCTTTAGGAGACTCGGGCTCAGGGTTAGTTTTAAAAGAGTATAATGGACTCTACTCTATCCCCAACATATTTAGGAAATCATTTGCCACAAAACATTTTTTTGAGGGATGAGGGGGAAAACTAATAGATTAAATTGGAATAAATGAGGAGTGCCATCTAGGCATTGTAAATTACTTGATGATGTCAGCCAAAAGCATCTATGATTATCATTGACCGTTACATAAGGTGGGAATCTTATGTGTGTCAGAAAAATTAGGGGGATTAATTGAATTTATTTAAACCTGGGGGGATTTCATTGACATATAGATATATATACCCAAGAGGGTCTAAATGAAGTTTACCCTATATTTTATTCTAAAATTTTTTACTTGTATTTACCATGACCCTCGGCATTAACAACAAAGTTAAACAGTGGCCGATGAAGTTTTATCTCTTAGATATGTTTTAAATGATAAACATGGGTCCCACTTAAAACATATTTAAAGGTTAAAAAGTTTTTCACTGATATTTTAGGTCAAACACATCGGCTTAAATATCCTTTTTAAGACATTAATTAGTCATTACAACAATACAAAATTTGATATAATGACTAATTCATCCATCATTGACTCAAATAATTACAGTGATACCCTCTATCACTGTGTGTGTAATGACGAATACAATAGCAAATTAAGTTGCTCTTGCCACCCTCTCAGTATATATTTTTTTCTGTCAAGTAAGTATTCACACACACATTTCACATTTCCTTTGAATGAGGAAAGGTTATACTATTGGGAAAATAGCCCATTATTCCAATCCTTTTCTTTGACGACTCTAAAATCAACTAAACCACACTAAGTTTCAAGTTCGTCCGACACCATCACTCTCATACTTTAGTTTCTCTTT